GATTTGGTTCAATTCTCGATTCTAAACCCATAACAGATTAGTCCCTGTTTGGGCCACATTATTTTTTTCATTCTCATTCTTCTACTCATTTTCAACCACACATTCTTCAATAAAATAATATTTTGCATCACATCAATAACTTTTCCTTCATTTTCAACCACATGTTCTCCATCACATCACTTCAAAAAAATACATTATCTCATTTTAATGTGTACCAAACGGGCACTTCTCATTTTTCTTTTGATAAATGAACCTGCCAAACATTTAATTCTTTTTCTGAAAACATTCAGCGCATTCATGGAAAATAGTTGTTGAAATTATAATTGGACTATATTTATCATTTTGTAAGACTATCGTTTGTTAGATTGTTGTTTTTTTTTTTTTTCAAACGTTAGGATAATGAAAATAGTTGTTGAAATTATTATATCATTGAAATTTTTAATTATGATATGGAACCGAACATTAACAATACAGTTAGAATTTCAAACCTTAACAACTTATAAATAGTAAGGGAATCTTTCTTTTCTTTTTCTTGTATTAGTAAATGGGATTAGATAGTTTAACAAAGAAGTAGCAAAATAAGGCATCTCATTCCCCATTTTCATCTGCTTCTCATCCAGGCAAACTGAAATAAGGCAACCTGTTCACAATATGGTGGTTTATAGTACTATGGTGGCTCATTGCTACAAGTTGGGAAAGTTTGCTCAAAACATGCAAGATTGAGAATTCTATATGATGTACAATTTTTCATAAAGTGGAAAGCAATCCGTAATTTTTTATTTCAATATTTTTCTCCGAACAAAGAATTTACAAGAATTGCCATAATTCCCAATGGTGGTATCAAAGCCAGGTCATTCGGAGTGTTGAAGCATAAAAGTGACGTGGAGAAATTTGATGGAAGAATCAATTTTTACTTGTGGGTACAAGTCATGGATGCATTGTGTCAATCTAGACTACAAAAGGCTTTGGAATGAAAACCAACACGATCAAGTGTGGACAACTTGATCAATCAGGAAATATTGTACGCTAATTCTCTATTAGGATTGTTAAAGTTCGTCAAAGGCTTATCAATTTTTTGTTTATTTATATATTTTTATTTTTTTGTAGCATCCTGGTCGAGAATTGCAAAGAGAGAGTAAAAATTTTGGTTCATTTTTCAAAGGGGAAGATTATTGAGAAAGCTTCCTCAAATCATGCCAAATAAATAATGCTATGGAGCAGAAATAAGTTGGATTTTTCCCTCTTGAAATCCAGCTATTGAAGAAAAATATGTCAAAAGATATCGCTGACCCCGAAAAATGGTTACGACATATGGCCAACAGAATAAAATTCTACGTAAGCTCCTTCCCGTGCACGGTAGCACACTGTTAGTCACTCGTGGTCTTTTCGGTGGGCGTGGAAGCGGCTGTGAGCACTCAACGATCAAGTCAGTATTTCAGTCAACCGAAAAATGGTGCCCGACGGTGAAGTGGTAACTAGGACGTGGTTGAGAATGTGTGTAAATATAGTGAAAGACCATTTTTGAGTTAAAAGACTAGGATGCAAGGATTTGGATGGGAACCTCTCTCTCACCAATGTGGGGATATTTATACTAGAGAAAGTAAGAGGAAAACCGTTGGATGGGGGACATGTGGCTTCGGATCCCGGATGAGTCGTCTTTTCATAGACGTCAATCTGTCGATCCATAGGTTGGCGGGCATTAATGATTTCTGACATAGCAACACGAGTTGATTGTTCGTAGTCTACTACACGTCTCATCAATCAGACTTTGGAGAGATCTCCTCATAAAAGATCTTGGCAGGCCAGGAAAGGTAAATGTGGGGCGTAGCAGAGTGCGGGTCTTTCGTAGGCAGCACATACTGCCTACTCTGCGGCTCTTCTACGAGGGAGCCATAGCGTTTCAGTTCGGGATATCATATTCAGTTCGTTCGGTGCAAATTTCAGTTCGTTTGTCACGTGGTAGCGCAGAAGGAAGTAGCGCAATACGTGGCGGATGACCTAAATGGATTTGGTGGAGGGCCCGTAACAGATATCATTAACCAATTGGTAAGGAAATTGACAAAGTTCCCTTTTCGGCTTGCAGGTGTTTTGCGTCTTTTGACTGCCAACATTTGGGTTATTTTTTAGGTCAAAATTGTAGCTAATGTTTGTTATAAATCGATAATGTTCTCTCTTTTGTGTCCGCGATTTAAGAGGAAAAAAATATTAGGCTAACATGCTCTTGGTTTTCTCGTTCTCTTTGTAATTAATTCAAAGAGAGAAAATTGTGTGATTAATTTTGAGTGATTATTTTTTTCTACAATACTTGATTGTATGGTTTGTGAAATTCTATATAATTGTATAAAAAAATTTATATAGTGAAAAAAATTATGATGGTCCATAAAATTTCTCTTTTTTATATATTTTGTCTCAATATTTTCTCTGAACAAGATTGAACAAATTTAAGGGAATTCCCAATACTATTAATAGCCAAAGCCAGCTTCTGAATTTTTTTTTTTTTTTTTT